ATATTGCTTGGGTTCTTCAAGACAGTTGAATTCCTTTTTACTTTCTCATTTACACTAACGTCAACGCCGTTTTCAGCAATAATCATGATGGTATAGTGATTGTACAATGTACAATGTACAACGATAATGATAATTTCCTTTTTACGATCACAGGCCGGTGACCTCCTATCAAATAAGATAGTGACAGAGTGAGAGTTGAGGCATTATCTAGCGATATTTGCAACCCAGGGTGACTAACTCTATCCACCGGATACATCGTGGATAAGTGTTAGCAGAACAAACTACACTTTCCTGTGATAGTGATTTCTCCGGTGGATAGCGTTGTTGACCCTTTGAACAACTGGTATGTGGACGTTTGATCTTGCTTAAAGCAACCGCCTCCAAAGTTAAAATTATTCATCTTCTCATTTTTTAGTTATGAGTGATCAACATGCAGCATATTTGGACTGCTTGTTTACCCACCTTGACGTTTGTAGCTTTGGTGTCAGCAATTCAAAGGGAACTAGAAAATACAGATAAACACAACTGGCATTGGATTATGAAACGGTCGACTAGCGTATTAGGGGTAAGTTTGAAAGTTAACCTGTAGCATGATGTCCTTTATTATTAAAAACTGGATCATTGGATAATGTAATTCAAGAGTTCCATTAGTCTTGTCATCACTGGTATATATGAGCATTTATACCATGCTCTACAAATATGGAAAACGTACGTGTCATTTTTTGGGGTCGTTCTTATTTTTATTTTATGTTAATTGTCTATATTTTGAGGGCGTTTAATTTTAATGAAACAGTTGTTCCACTCGCGCTTGTTGGATATGAGATAAATATAGCCAACTCGGCACTCTCTCCTATCCAATGTTTCGCCTAGTTGTTATATAGTCCTAACGGTTTTTCAAATATTCTGTAACTGACGATGATATTAGTAACATTGAAATATGTCTTATGAATTAAAAAATGTCGCAATCTTCTTAAAAATTACGATTTTCTTTCTGCTGTCTCGACCTTTTAAAAAAATGCCTTTCCCTTTATTTCCAATCGCCTCCTATAGCAGTAAACCTCCTTGCCTCACTGTTCCACAAGCGCTTATAATCAACCTTCTGCTGAATGGTTAAGGCAAACTGTGAAAAA